TCACCCCTGAGGTCTAAGACGGAATGTTTGCTACAATCACCATACGAAACAGCCACATTAAGCTGCTATTTCACGCTGGTATTGAGTGAGAGCGTGGTCCTATCCCGATCGAGCCGACCCGTACGTGCTGCAACCATAACATAGCTGCAGCATGGCTCTACCATGTTTAAATACTGTCATTAATCAGAAGATATGGAATATTATGACATTTTCCATAGTAAGATATGGAATATTATGACATTTTCCATAGTAAGATATGGAATATTATGACATTTTCCATAGTCGACTCTTACATCCCTCATGGGACAATCTTCAATATAGAATGTGATAGATTCTCTAATGTTTTCCCCTAAATTTACATGGGACCACCTCGGTCGACAATCGCAGTAAGGGCATTTCCGACTTTTTCTGCCACCAGGGCATCGCCACTTTGGAAGGAGGTGAAATATTTGACAGATTTCAAAGGAGGGTAGTTAATTTGTTGTAAAATGTAAGATTAATGTTTCTTTCGATTAGAATTGAATAAACCAAACTACGGATATACCTAAGTGTTTAAAAAAAAAGAGTTAAAATGGGCAAAAACATTAAAGAGCAAACCAATGAGGCACTGTTTTGTGTATTATATTACATTAATACTCTAAAAACTGATAAACTATTATTTAAAACGACCTTCTCAATTACATGACATTGTATAACAAAAACTTCAACTCGTTCCCAACTAGCGACATCTGTTGATCGTAAGATTATTAGCTATTATTGGCCCCATTCTAACCAAGGCTGTTATTCAAAGACATTCTTAAGATTAAACTCAAACTTTGCATCGTCAAAGTTGAGTCAGAACCATGTGAGGTATAGACTCAAATTTAAATATGGCCAAGTGTCAAGACTATTTTCATTTTAAGATGTAATGCGAAGAGGGCTAATAATTTTACGCTCACCAGATGCCGCTAGTTGGAACTAAGGTGATTTTATTTATAACGGAAATGATTCTAATTTGTCATTCATTGGAAAGTTGCGTTTTAAATAAAAGTTATGTTATGGAACACAAAACAATGCCTCAATGCTGCGTTCTTAATATTTTTACATATTTTTAACTTCATTTAAATCTTCTACTTTTAGGAATATCATTAATATTTCTTTATCCATTTCTAATTTAATTAAACATAAAATATAACTGATGAATAATGAAAGAAACATTAATCTCCACACTTTTCTAACAAATTAACTTCCTCGATCATGAAATCTCTCAAATATTACACCTCATTCCAAAGTGGCGCCGCCCAGCAGGTCTATTCACAATCGTCTGAAGAGAAATCGACTCGAATTCGATAACTTCTCGCAAGGAAACCAATAAATTTTATTCACATTCGCCGTTCGGATAATTTTGACATTCGTTATTGGGATTTGTGACAGTTCGCATCGTAAACTTTTCGACAGCTCTGAGGCTGGCGAAAACTTGAGAAGTGATACGAGAGATGTGAATACCTAAGCTGGTGGGTAAAAAAGTAATGGATGCCTTCATTTATTAATTATGATGTTTGAAGCCAATTTTAAGTTTTTTGTTTTCTGAGCCATAAAAAAGACAATGAAGGAAATATCCTCCATAGAAATAAAAGAAATAAATAGGAATGTATGTATCACCTCATCATGCAATAGTTAGTTGGTGCGTTACCGGCGTCGACTGCGAGCTGCTGGTTTTTGAGCTTCTGAAAAAACATTAAAGCTTGCTTACTAAAAATTTGTGTTGACTATTGCACATAATATGAGTTGAATGAAGTTATTCCAAATTGAGCTACCGTGGGCCACGGGTTCGAATCCCGCACGGAATAAGTATTTGTATTTATTTATACAATAAGGATGAAATAAAGATGATGGTCAGTGGATACTGTAGCCCATTGACTTCTACATTTATCTACGATTAACGACTAAGATGGAATGCCTCGTCTCCAGTAAAAAAAGGTCTCCGGTTCTCTACATTCACCATACGAAACACAATAGCATTGAGCTGCAATTTTACAGTGATATTCTGTGAGAGCGACCTTCCAAAACGTATTCAAAATCCAATAATATTCGCAGATGACTGCACTACACTCGTCAAGTGTGCTTCCAGAGATTTTGTATATCAATCAGTATAGTAGCATTACACTGGAGAATATTGTGGAATGATTAAACCGTAACCAATTAATTAAATTTGTCAAACTCAAGTTATACAATTTTATTCCAAATTTCAAAAAACGTTACCATTAAATATAGAACATGAGTCAGAAATAATACAGGAGGTGCATTCAACAAAATTCTTGGGCCTAACTGTTGACAACAAAGATTAAATAAAGTAATGATATATTTGGTAATTAGATTTATTATTTAATTATTCCAACAAATTATTGAATACTAAGATTAAATTATAACGAAAAAATTAGATCCGTAAGTAAGGTATTTTTAGTATAGATATTAGACATGGAACGAGTAGTGATTCGCCGAGTACTCGGCCTAAATTGGGCCGAGTACTCTGCCGAATATTCGGCTTTAAAAAAAACGCGGTAGCGGACGGTGTGTGGTTATTTCCCTTACACAGAGTTAGAGATGAAACGATACGACTAAATACAAGTAGTTACTCGATACTTTTCTTTCGATACCAAGTACTTTGGGTATCGATATTTTAAAACTCAGTACCATGTAGTATCGAAAGAAAAGTACTTGTATCGGTACTCAATCAGTCGTATCGGATGCTATTGATGAGTGATAACTGATTACTTGTCAAATGAGACAACATGAGTTCATGTTCGAGAGATTGTTTTCGTCATCTGGCGCCAAAATGACTGCTTATAGAAATCGTTTTATCGGAAAACATCTAGAAAAATTATTGATCTTCCTCTCTTAACTTTAAATATTAGTAATAATAATTTCGATTATAGATTCATATGTACGTTCTAAATATTTCTGCTGCTTCTCATGTTCCTAATGTTTTAAATGTGTCTAATATAATAATAATGATAAAAACTTGCTTTTGCCTTTATTTTTCTCTGGAATATAATTAAGGCCGAGTACTCGGTACTCGGCCGTTAATACTCGGTGCTCGGCCGAACTCTAATAAAAGGCCGAATCCGCCGAGTACCAAAGCCAAACCGAGTACTCGTCCCATGTCTAATAGATAGCTGATATCATATATTGTAATAATAATTTAATGAAAAAATTACGATGACATTAATGAATTAATCTATATATTTGATAAAGGTATCGATTATTTTTATAAATATAATTAAGACTTAATATTGTACATCTGAAATAGGTAGAATATGAAGCACAAATGTACATAACATAATCTTAAGATCTTATTTCATTTTACCTGTAGTCATTCAATAAATATTTTTGATTTGATTTGAGCGTCGTCATTCCCCGGTCGACTCATTCGTGCTACAACCATATTATAACTGCAGCGTGGCGCTACCGTGTTTAAATACTGCCATTTATCAGAAATATGGAATATTATGGCATCTTTTATTTCTACTCTCTCTCTCTCTCTACTATCTACCACTTATAAAAAATTATATATGTACAGCTTACAAATAATGGTTCCGGTTCTGGATGTTTGTCAATGCAAAATTTATGTATATAAACTGCCTCCACAATACAGGTGAAAATCCTACTTTGTGGTAATGTATTTAAAAAAAAGAACCTCAATAAAATTGCTCAATTTTCTTTCATCTTTAGTGATTACTACAGTGTACACTGCCCACGACAATATATTTAGTGTCTAAAGTAAAGACGAAAGAAGAAGAAGAGGTAGTCTTATTAGTCCTAAACAGATCAACAAGCGTCTCAAGACGCCTTTTCCCATTTTAGACATCTTTTTTATATAGAGGTAATAAAACCCATAAAATTTGCAAATTTACCGCGTAGTGGCGGTGTAAGAATATCCACTATCCCATATCATCCCGTGGGTGTCGTAAGAGGTGACAGAGGGAAACAAATCAGAAGATGGGCAGCAGCTTCTTTTTAATAAGGACTAAAAATAAAACACTGCAGTTGGCAGCCCCCAATGGAGCAATCTATGGGGGAGGAGGCCTATGTTCAGCAGTGGACTTTAATAGGCTGTAGGTAATTTGCAAATAATAATTTATTTCAATTTAATATAATTATTTTATTTCTAGAAGTTTGAATACTGTTTCTGATAATGCACTTAACGGAAACCACTGGTTTTTGTAACATGTTTGTTTTTGTACATGTACAGTTTGCAATAACCAAGCCTGTGTTCGTTTTAGGAACGTATAGATGTACATATTATAGGCATGGCAACTATGGCAGTGATTTTTTTTATTTGTTATAAAAGGGAATTTAACATTTACAATAGGTACCTTATTAAATTCAATAATGTAAAAATGTTATTTACGTTTGAATTAATTGAGCCGTAGATAGATAGATAGATAACACTTTATTGTACGCCAAAAAATAACAAAAATATTAACAAAAAATAATAAAAAGAAAGTAGTAGTAGTAGTAGCAGCTTAGGGTCTAAGCAATCGCAGTACAGTCGTATTTCATACTACGCGAGCAACCCTATTTCTTCCCCGCCGGCACCAACGAAACTTTTGATTCCAATTTTAAGTGCTGATTCACCGCGTACTCGGCGTGAAGGAGAACGCCGTGAGGAAACCTACATGTCTGTGAAATAAGAAAAAAAATATTTCGAAGACTTGAAGTTCGCCAACACGCTTTGGGGCAGCGCGGCGGACACTTACTTGCCCTAAAACCCTCTCAGAAGTGAGAGGAGGCCTGTCCAGCAGTGGGACGTATATAAGTTGTTACTTTACTTTTTAACTGACACGCGCTTTGGTAAATCGGGGTGTTGACAATACACTTACTCCTCGGTCAATGCAGAGGTAATCCTACACACAATATACAAAATAAGGTACAAATTATTAAAATTTAGTTTGATTCTTATCTCTACACGTTTGAATACCGATTTTGATAACGCTTTTAAGTGAACCACAGGATTCATGTTACATGATGCATATAATTATAGTGTACTCACCATCAACTTTAGTGCGTCGTGTCCTTGTTTCGCGGGCGGGTGCTTTGGGACTGATCGCGCTAGTCTTACGAGGTTTCTTAGCTGGCTTCATTGGTTCTGTAAGTGTTACATGTAATTTATACGTCGCAGAATCACGCTACAGAACAAATGGGTCGACTCGAAGGACCACTTTTTTAACCAAGCCAGCACGAATCATCTTGCGACGTCATTAGAATCATCGGTGAAATAAAATAAACACTACAAAGTTTCGCCAGTTCATCGAGGTGTGGAGTAATGAAAATGCAGAATTTTAACAAAATAAATTGATTATTTCGAAAAATGTTAAGTTTTAAAAAGTCGTAGAAGAAAGTTGTTGGTTTTAAGGATAGTAATTATGGTGTTAGAGCTTTTTGGTATGTTAATCTTGTATAATATTAGAAAAAATGTTATATAGAATGACGATATCTACAGAAGTAAACTTTAATGTTCCATTTATGCATTTAACAAGTATACAAAAACATAATAAAGCCAATTATAAAAAAGAATCGTCAAATCAAAGACAAACAATAAGATATAAAATAAACCTAAAAGTGAGGCTTTTTTCATAGAATAAGGGTGACAAACGAGCACACAGTCCATCTGATAGTAAGTATATGCTGTGGCTTATAGACATCTACATTTATCCTCGGTTAAGAATCAAAATGCAGATGCATTGTCCCCCCTGGTAAGAATGAGAGCACATGGTGTGTATGGTAAGTGGATGCTGCATCCCATAAATATACAGGATCTATCTATCAAAAAAATAATAACGGTTCCTCCGGATCGGTAGTATCAATGGGCGTTCCTCAGGGCTCGATTCTTGGCCCATTCCATTTTAATCTATATTAATGACTTACCTTATCTTGTAGGGGACAATCACGATATAGTATTATTTGCTGACGATACCTCTTTAATTTTCAAACTCAAAAGGCAGTTAATTAATTATGACGATGTAAATAATGCTCTATCGAAATTGGTACATTGGTTTAACGCCAACAATATGCTCTTAAACGGCAATAAGACAAATACTCAAATACTCAAACGCTACTCAATTTTAAGACGCCGTTAAGTCTCTTGTTGTCTCTATCACTTTAAGTCAAAGTGACAGTGACGCCACGAGATTTAACGGCACCTTAAAATTGAGTAGCGTTTGAGTATTTGGGCAAAAGTGTATTAAATTTACAATACCTAATGTAAAACATTCGAATACCAATGTGCTGTTAAATGGGGAGGAGTTGAGTCTTGTGGATACCACTGTTTTTCTTGGTATTACTATTGACGCGAAACTTCAATGGGGCCCCCATATATCTAAATTAGCAAGCAGACTTAGTTCTGCAGCATATGCTGTAAGAAAGATTAGAAGTCTCACAGATGTTGAGACAACTAGATTAGTGTATTTTAGTTACTTTCATAGCGTAATGTCTTATGGAATTTTGCTAAGGGGTAATGCGGCTGATATTGCTTATAAGCTATTATAAGCTATATTTGTTTTGCAAAAGAGAGCCGTACGGGCGATTTATAACCTAAATTGTAAAGAGTCCCTCAGAGAAAAATTTAAAGAAATAAACATATTAACTTTGGCATCGTAATATATTTATGAGAATGTAATGTATGTGCATAAAAACATAAATAGCTTTAATAAGAATAAGGATGTGCATAATTTAAATACTAGGAACAAACAAGCCTGTAATGCCAGTTACTAGACTCCACAGAATCAGTAATTCATTTATGGGGCAATGTATACGCTTTTACAACAAAATCCCAGAAAATATTCAAAGTTTGTCAATAAACAAGTTTAAAAGTTTTATTAAAGAAAAACTACAAAAAGGGTTATTATAATATCTAGGAATACATGAATGAAAATAACCCCTGGGAACAGGGTGATCGCCACAATGCTGGTTCTATGAAAAATCATTTAAAAATTGTATAAACAAAATTATTGTTAAGTGAAATTATGTTTTAAAAAAAAAGTCCCGCTGGGTTTCTTGCTGGTTCTTCCCAGGAATGAGGTTTTTTCCGAACCAGTGGTAAATAAAAAATGACTTTCAATAAGTATTATGTAATAATCAATATAGAATAAAAAATTATTCTATTCTATTCATAAACATTTTTTCGCCATAATAAACATTTTTGCTAACATTTTTTTTTATTTTTTGATAGATAGGTCCTCCATATTACAAACAAACTGTCAGGCAATATGTCAAAACATTAAGAACTCACCTTTGGCAGCGGACACGTCAATGTTGGTTTTCCTTTTACGGCCCTCTGGCTGGGGTTTTTCTACTTCCGTTGCCTGTGAAAGAAGACCGTCTCATGAACTTTAAAAAAAAAGAAATTGGATTAAATTGTTCCAATTGAAGTAAAAAACTTTTTTAGAATCAAAATCGAAAATTATTGTAGTAGAGATGTAAGAATATCCACTACCCCATATCGTCCCGTAGGTGTGGGCAGCAGCATCTTCCTAATAACAACTTAAAATAATAAAAAACTGCCTGCCAAGCGTGGCAACTATGGCAAAATCTTCCCTGGAGGCAATCTATGCGGAAGGTTTATGTTCAGCAATGGACTTTTATAGGCTGTAATTGATTAATGGATAGATGAATACAAAAAGTTATAGGTTAAAAAAATAGCCTATAACTTTTAACAAAAAGTAAAAACCGACTTCAAATTGCAAAAATAAGTTATATATTTGCTACCCTTAGGGGTGTCGAATTATTTCTCAAAATTTATATGGGACCCTAATAAATAACCCTTCGATTCTTCAAGAGTATAACATATTTCATAAATAAGAATCATTAAAATCGGTTCACGAGATATCGCGTGACATACATACAAAAAAAAATACACTTGAATTGAAACATACCTCCTCATCTTTGAAGTCGGTTAAAAACAGACGAAAGGGGATATTTTAATCGACTTGTTTACAGGACTAGGGATAGTTCTCTGTGCGAATGTGGTTTGGATGAGGGGAAACAGTAACCATATTTTCTTAACTGCACCAAATTGTCATCTCTTTATGATTATCTGCCCCCTGACATCCCTCATCCCATAGACTTTAACTCCGTTCTAATCGTCACAAATACTTTTGTATATATTTTATGTGATTTTATTAACTCTAATAATATTAAACTGTAATTTGTTTGTCATATAATAACACACATAATATAGTATTGTTGTAACAACATTGTCTGTCTTTTATTTTAGGTAATTCAACAGATAAGTTGACCAAAATCATTCACATAATATTCATTGTTACCATTTCTTGTATTATCAATTTCCCTTTTTTAAGCAAAGTTTGTGTCCCAATTAAACCTTTTCACATGTAACATGTCATTGGGAAATTCATCGTAACCGCCATAAAGGAAGAAAAAGAATCAAAATGCAGATGCTTTGTCAGTCCTGAGGACTATTTTACGCTGGTATTCTGTGACAGCGTGATCGTGTCCCGTTCGAGCCTACTCATTCGTGCTACAACCATAATACAGGTGAAGCGCAGCTCTACTATGTATAAACATCTCGGGAGGGGACAAAATGGGACAGAGCAAGAATTATTAAATTCAATTTACCTTTTTCCTTCTCGTAGTCTTGACTTCAGTCTCTTGTTCAGCTGCTTTTTGAGCTTGACGCGTTTTCGTTGTCTCCTGCACTTCCTTGTCGTTTTTCGGCGCATTCTGCTCCGCTCCTCTCTTCTTCCGTCCCTTTACCTCTTTCTTTGCCTCTGTGGTTTTCACTGCAGTATCTTCTACAGACTGCTTCTTGGCTTTCCTTCCACGAGTGCTCTTCGGTTCGGTTACCTCAACGCTTGTGTTAGTAATATTTTTTTTTCTTCCAACTGTTGCTTTTGGTTGACTTACTCCAGGTGCCTCTTCCGTTTTCTTTCTGCCTCTAACTGTTTTAGATGCCACCACTTTGTCTTCTATTGTCTTTTGTTTATCAAGTTCTTGTAGATCTTCAATTTGCTGACCTCGCCTGCCCTTAGTAACAACTACTGGACTTATCGCTGTTGTGGTTTCAATCTTTTGCTGTTTAGATTTATTATTCGCTCTTCTTTCACGATTTCTTGTACCCGTATCATCTTCTGTATCCATTTTTCTTAATTTAGATGTAGTTTCTTCTGCAGTGATCTTTCTTTTGCGACCTCTAGCTGTACTTTCAACGACAGTATCACTTTCAGAGTTTTGCGCTTTAATCTGCCGTTTCGAAACTGCTTGTGTGGTCTCAGTTTTCCTACCCCGAGTTTGAGTTGTGACACTGTCTGTTTCTTGTGTTGTAATTCGAGTGGACCTTGTCCGTACTTCTGGAACATTATTTTCAATTGTAGCATTCGTTTGAGCTACAGTTTTCCTACCTCGCTTTGATTTTGGATTGGTTTCTGCTTCTAAAGCGACATTTTTTCCTTTAGCGCTATTTTCAACTATGACATTCTGTCCCTTCTTTACTACTTTAACACTTGGCGAAATCAATTTGCCCTTCCTACCCCTTGTTTTAGTTTCACTCTCCTCGCTATTCTCATCTATAGATTCTTGTTTCTTCTGTTTTGCTGCAACAGGTTTAGTAGCTTCAGCAATATTTCTACGAGTTCTTTGAGAGGTTTTCTCTAGTATTTCACCGGATTCATTTTCAATGACCTGCTTAGCAGATCTTGGCTTCATTTGAGGAGAAGGTTTGGTTATAACAACACTTCGTTTTTGCACTTTGGCCCTGGTAATTTGTTTAGGTGTTTGAACTTTGTTTGCAGTAACCTTTTGCCTGCGTGTTCTAGTTTTCTGAGGTGTTTCCTTCGATAACTGCTCTGTAGTGTCGTTCTCATTGTCCTTTCTTAAATTAGTTTTACGTCCCACTTTTCCCTTTGGCGTTACTTTGTTACTTTGTTTTTGACTCTCTTCCTTTTGCACGTTCCTTCGTCGTGTTGTTTTAGTAACAGGTTGCACATTTTCTGTAACCTCTTCAACTAAACCTTGTTTTCCATCTAAATTCCTCTTTCTTGTTTCCTTGACGACAGGCTCAGGATTTCCAACTGAAACAGGTTCGTTACGAGATACTTTTGCTGTTGTTTGTGGGCTTAAAACAGGCGGTTTTTTGGAAATAACGATAGATGATTTGAGTATTTTAACATTATGAACTACCAAATTTTCTTTAACCCTTCGTCCTCTCGTAGCTCTCACTTGACCTGGGCTACTCTTGACCTTTTCTTTGTTCTTAGGAGATAGTTGAACTGCTTTAGATGAAATCTGGCTATCAAACACTTCTTGAATGATTTTTGATTTCCTTGTTTGGATTGTTTTTCTTTTAGGACTTTCTTTAGGAAGTTCAATAGGCCTGAAAATTTATTATACACATTTTTAGAACCTTAAATAGTCATACTCTATATATAGAAACAAATGTGAGCTTCCTCGCAACGTCATTAGTTATAGTGAGAGGCTCGACAAATATAACTCAGCCACTTTATTTATTTGCCGCAAGGAATATGCCCTTATATATTTACATAAAATTCTCCATAACGAGATCGGTTTCGATAACCGCTTAAGTATATTTAATGCCTATACTAATGTTAAACACTCGCTACCCGCGGTGCTTATTGCACTGGGGAAACAGGATTTCGCCTGTTGCGCTTTCTGTCGCACTTACGGGCTTTATGGCAAACATAGTAACGCAGCACTGTCGTGTGTATATTATGAAAAGGTAAAGAATGCAAAATAGAAAGAAAACTATTTAATAATTACATTTATTAATAGCCAAAAATATATACTTAAGACTAAATAAAATGAATAAAAATTTAAAATAGGTATACAATAATTAATCTTCGTCCGAGTCAGAATCACTGTTGCTATCGTCACCTACGCTAGACAAGGCGCTCACAGAAATGTGCTGTCTGTAAATCTTCTTCTTCAAGTGCTTCGTCGCATAGAACTCATTTTCGCCGCTTTTCCACAGTTACATTTGCAATAGCTGCATGAATTAATTGCTTCCACGTCAGAAATTTTGAACGTGATGTTTTTACTCGCCACTTCTGCCTTTACTTGCGTCCATATCAATTCTATCGGATTGTATTATGAATGATATGGTGGCAGTAATTATTAAACTACCCCCATTTATTAATAAACTACTTTCTTCATCGTTCGGTAAATCAATAAGCGGTTATCGATAAATGCTGCACTGCACGCGTCTATCCCTAGCGCACCGATGATTTATGGCACCGCGGGTAGCGAGTGTTTAACATTAGTATAGCAAGAAATTTTACCTGCGGATTTATAAGAATAATACTTCCTTTTATAACCCCGTAATAACAATTTGTCGACTTTAGAACGACATATCCATGAATGGCCCCAGCTTGGATATTTTTGACCCAAATCCAGAATATTCAAAAGTGCAGTAAAATAACTTAGTTAACTAACCAGCAGCATCTTCCTAATAACTACTAAAAATAATTAAAAATGCCGATGCCAGCCCACCTGCCAAGCATGGCAACTATGGCAAAAGCCCCCTATGAGGCAATTTATGGGGAAGGCCTATCTTCAGCAGTGGACTTGTGATGGGCTGTTTTTTTTTTTTTATAGAATAAGGGAGACAAACGAGCACAGTCCACTTGATGGTACTATATTTATCAAAATTCAGATGAATTGTGACCCCTGAGGACCAAGATGGAATGCTTCATTTCCAGTAAAAAAGGCTGTAATGATGATGATTATGATCATCAATTCCTTACCTTTCAGCGGTGTCTTGATTTTTATCGATGTCAACCGCCACTTCATGAACAGGCGCAATTGGGGATACGCGACCAATGTCAGACGCATTCATAGTCAAGTTGATCCTGCCCTTAACGGGAGTAGAATGCATCACAACTCTCTTCTTTATCGGCAGAACACTCTTTTCGCTGCTTTTATTTGCCAATGTATCGACCAGCGACCTCTTTTTAATCGGTAGAGTGTGAGCTCCGTAAATTTCTGACGTAGACTTCTTCCGCTCGACTTCTTCAACTAGGGAAGTTTTGGCGAGGGTACTGTTTCTTATTCTAGAAGTTAGAACCGGAGAGTTGCCATCAACGGTATCTGTTGCCAGCTTTTGCAGTGCGCGCGTTAGATTCGATTTGGATTTAGATTTGTTCAAGTTAGTGGAAATTTCTTCAACTACAGTTTTAGATTTGCTGAGTGAAGTCTTTGTTTTAGAGGCGTCTATGGATTTATTTGCTTTTGTGACTGAATTTTCTGCTTTTTGAGAGATATTTGCAGATTTCCTTCCCGGGGTCAGAGATGTTGAAATGTTTGACTTATTTTTCGAATTATCTTTTAACCTTTTGCTTCTTGATAAAAGTACATTTCCAGTACTCTTGCCTGATTTCAATGACAAAGTGGAGGCATTGGATTTGTTCACTGATGTTCCCCGCTTTGATGACGGTTCGCTTATATCATATTTGTGCATTCGTTTCCTCAGTTCGGTCTCTAACCAGTCCTCCACATTATCTGTAATCGAACTAAAAGAGGTTTGTAGAGACTGCGCTTTACGAATTTTTGGTTTTTGAATCAATTTGGTTGAGAAACTCTTGGCTTTCGGGTAAGACCGCACAGCCGGTTTACCAATAAGCAAATCAAAGGAACTTTCCAGGTTTGCGTCAGACAGTTTTGAAGTCTGATGTGATTCACTAAACAACTCCTCAATACCACTCAAATTGTTAGAATCATCTCTTTGTTTCTCTTGCCGGAATAATCTTCGTAAGCCTCTAACATCGCTTAAATCATTCTTTGGGGAATTTCTACGCAATATTGTTTTTGCTCTGGAAACGTTACGTAAGTCATTATCAGGACTGTTCTTTTTGAACAAATTTCTTACACCAGCGACATCCTCTAGACTGTTCTTCGGCGATCTTCTTTCTTTCTGCGATTGGAAAAGTGCTTTAACACCGGAAACTCTTCTTAAATCATTGTTAGGTGAGACTGTGAACACTTCCTTAACTCTAACATCGCTTAAATCATTCTTTGGGGATTTTCTACGCAATATTGTCTTAGCTCTGGAAACGTTACGTAAGTCATTATCAGGACTGTTCTTTTTGAACAAATTTCTTACACCAGTGACATCCTCTAGACTGTTCTTCGGCGATCTTCTTTCTTTCTGCGATTGGAAAAGTGCTTTAACTCCAGAAACTCTTCTTAAATCATTGTTAGGTGAGACTGTGAACACTTCCTTAACTCTAACGTCGCTTAAACGGTTTCTAGGCGACCTTTTAAACAGTGACTTCACTCCAGATACTTTAGTTAAATCATTTCTAATGGACCTTCTGTATCGAGGAGTTTGCATCAACTTTTTAGCGGCTGATACATTTCGAACGTTATTTTCCGGCGTAGTCTCTGCAAATAAGCGTTCTAAACCACTGACATTGGAGCTATTACTGGGAGTACTCAAGGGACTGACGAAAACTTCTGGTGTGAATGCCTGCGAATGTTCCAATATGGAATTTTCAGGAGTTCTTCCAGTCAACGCGATTGTATTTCGAGTTTGTCTCTTTGGAGGAGTAATGTCCTCTTCCAAAAGTTGCTTTCTAGAAAACTCGATCATGCTTTGTGATAGCTTCCTTTTTACAGGGCTGTTGAAAAGTTGTTTGACCATATCGGACTCATTGAGGTTATCTATAATGGATCTCTTTGACTTTGGCTTCTTAGCAGAAGAGTGTTTATTTTTAACAGCCTCTTGCACCAATTTCACAGCACTCTTTGGAGTCGATTCGCCTTCATCTTGAGATACATCTTTATTTAATTCAGAGTAATTAGGAGAAATTTTCAATGATTTTCTTAAAGAGACTCTTGTACCAAGACTCAATGATTTCGATTTACTGCTAACACCTTTTCTAGGTACAGACGGTCGGCCTCCTATAGTTTTACGTAAAATATTTACTGGTACCCTGGCGACGTTTTTCTCCCTTGAATGTGACATTGTTGAGTCTCGACTTGAGTCCAGAAGACTTTGTATACTTAACACTGGTGTACCAACTTCTTGGGGACTACTTATTTCTGGGGTAGAAGTACCTTTATTTTGCAGCGGACTGTTGTTACTAGTCGAGTTTACAGATCTCTTGGAAGACCTTGGTGATGCAACGCTTACTTCGCTCAAGCGTGAACGACTTGATCTCGACGATCTAGAATGCCTTGAGCTGTCTAATGCAATATTTTTCTGGGATACTTCCGGTGTAGAAATGGACTTGGATTTCCTAGATTTTCTAGAATGGTCCAATATAATATTGTCTTGTGAATTCTCCAATGTCAAAATAGACTTTGACTTCTTAGATTTTCTAGACACTTTAAATGTGGCATCTTTAGGTGAAGTTACTGATTTTCTAGATGATGTAACATTTTCTTTAGAATTTTCAAATGGTGAAGAATTAAATGACTTTGACTGCCGAGATTTTCTTGTGCTATTTATTGTAATATTATCTTGATCACTGTCTGTTGCCAATGATTTAGAATTTTCAAATGGTGAAGAATTAGATGACTTTGACTGCCGAGATTTTCTTGTGCTATTTATTGTAATATTATCTTGATCACTGTCTGTTGCCAATGATTTAGAATTTTCAAATGGTGAAGAATTAGATGACTTTGACTGCCGAGATTTTCTTGTGCTATTTATTGTAATATTATCTTGATCACTGTCTGTTGCCAATGATTTAGAATTTTCAAATGGTGAAGAATTAGATGACTTTGGTTGCCGAGATTTTCTTGTGCTATTTATTGTAATATTATCTTGATCACTGTCTGTTACCAATGATTTAGAATTTTCAAATGGTGAAGAATTAGATGACTTTGACTGCCGAGATTTTCTTGTGCTATTTATTGTAATATTATCTTGATCACTGTCTGTTGCCAATGATTTAGATTTATTCGATCTTCCGCTAATGTTAAATGTAACATTGTCTGGAGTTGACAGAGACTTGGAACGTCTTTTCGATATATTATTTCGAGAGGGTGAATCATACTGAATAGAGTCGTAACTGCGTGATGTAGCTGCACTTTGCGACCTAGATAATCTGGATTTGTAATCACTTTTCACAGTTGGTGTACTTGACGCCAGGAGACTGCAAGCTCTTATCGATCTGGTCTTTCTTCCGGCACTTGTCTGCGGCGTCCCGAATTTCGAGGCACTGGTATCAGCCGACGATGCAGAATTGTACACTGATCCAGAGCGCGAATCGTTGGAGTCAATAGACACTAGATCGACGATCGAATATGACTCAATATTACCTCTAGCTGAGGCATCTCGTGGGCTCAGAGTTTTAGTTCTGCGTAAGGAAGCCACGGTGGAGTTCCAGCTCTGTTCCGTTAAGCTTTTAGTGGTTCTACGCGAGTACGTCGACGACTCGTTAACTTCCGGAGTCTGCAAAACTTTCTGCAACATAAGGCTACCACGTAAGGACTTTTTAGATCGCGGCGATTCTGGTGTTAAAGTATCCTGTACTGGTCCCGTATCTGATGTAAATGTTGTTCCTAAAGTCCTTTCCATGATTTTACTGCTGCGCGAGTGGATCGACCTCCTTGGGGAAGGAGATTTTGCTGAGCTATCAGAATAATGTAAAGTCAATTCGTCTTCTGATGCAATATTTTCAAAGCTCTTGTTACTTGTGCCTGTAACCATTAGAACGTCTACTGAGTTTGAAGCACTGTTCTCAAGGTTGCTGAAATCAAACTTGATTGATTCAGTTTTCCTAGCACTTTTCTTTGCAGTTGGATCCTTAAGCGCCGACTTCTTAGGGCTTGGTAACAATGGCGACCGGATTAAACTCTTTACGCTTGAACGAGTGGATACATCGCTCTCCCTTGCTATTTGATGAACATCAGAGTCTGTTATTTCCATTACTGAGGCCTAATAACAAAGAGTCCAAGTTAAAGTAAATATTCACCAAATGCTATAAAAATAAGGAAACTAGAACATAAAACAAAATCTAAATGATTTAATAATCTTATTGTTATAATTACATTGTTCAACACAAAACAAAGTTTAATTACAATTGGCAAGCAATAATCAAAATGACCGTAGTGTAGTGGTGGTGTAATAATATCCACAAATCATATAGTTCCGTGGGAGTCATAAGAGGCAAGAGGGAGAAACTGAAACAGGATAATGTAGGGTGGCCCACCACTACATAGAGTGACAATGTGGTAAGAGATGCAGGAAGCCGATGGATGCAGGTGGCTCAGGAGCGTGCTTTGTGGAATCCTTGCGGAAGGCCTATGTTCAGAAGGAGACTGTGAAGAGCTGTACTGATGATGATGAATCAAATGTTTAAAATATGAAGAAAATATCATTATAAACCAATTTACATGCTGAACATGACAATTTTGGAAATCTTGCCAGTTTAGCCGGCGCCAGTGAAATTATTAATTGCAGTTTCAAGTGCCAATTTTCCAAATGTTCTGCCGTCCTTGGCATAGCTTCTAAGCTGCCACCATGCAAGACAACACAAAGAACTCTTTCGTGCTTCAAAACTAGCTCACAAATGAGAACTACCCATGCCCATCGGTGGGACATACAGGGTTATTTTGCGATAACCGGCCAAATTTGCAGAGGGGGTTCAGAATAGATAACATAAGTGAATGGTGAAAAAAAATATATGAAAAAAACTGAAACATTGTATCCTTTATATTCAAAATATGTGGAAATGCATTATTTTAATTGCTTGTCCATTCATAAATATGAAGCGCCTACTATTTTATACGCACGCACACATTCGTAAGGGAGTGTTGAGTTCCGAAGCAGCTGCCGGTGGCATTCGGAGCTCGTGCTCGGTTACAGATATAGGTATCTAATAGTTGTTTTGACTCGGTAAAAACAATCGCGTCTCCTCGCCTCCCCATCCCCTCCCATTCAATACACCGCTGGGTACGTTCACCCGACAGTGTTGACTTGACCATGACCTTATTAAGTACAGAGTATCCTATTTTCAAATTTTCGTAGGTAGTATTACTTGTCACAGCCAGAACTACGTTTGGAAACTACTGAATTCTCCTGGATATCACCCATTTTATTACCTTGTGCCAGCGCTAAATAATAGCGATGGTCTACCTCGAAAACATTTTTTTGAATGGTTGTTGTCAAAAATTGATAATACTAATATTATGTAGACTGACGAAGCCCTATTTACGCGTGTAGGGCTTTTTAATAGTCGCAAAAAACATTAGTAGGCAGTATTTGAATACTCTATAAAAGATATATTATCAAGTACGATTTAGTGTAAATGTTTGGGCCGGAATTATTGATAACATAATTATGGGTCTGTACTTCATTGAAAGACGATTAATGGATGGTATTTATTTGGACATGTTACAGGTTGTTATTCAAAATTTCCTGGATGATATACCCCTAGTGTTACTGAATAATTTTTATTTCCAACACGTCGGTGCTCCGCCGCACTAGTCAAGTGCAGTGCGTGGTTATTTAAATTGCGAAAACGAAGATAGGTGGATTGGGCGTGGCGGCCCTATACCATGGCCTGCAAGGTCACCGGACCTTACACCATTAGACTTTTATTTGTGGGGTGAAATAGAGACAAAATTACGTCGAAGAGGGCCCAAAGCTATGACAATCTCCGCAGCAAAATAATTGCAGCATTCACGGAAGTGAAAAGTGCTCAGACACATGTAGTTAATGTGAAAAATAACTTAAGGAAACATGCTTAACTGTGCATTGTGAGAAACGCACTCCATTTTGAATTGAACATCTATTATAATATCAGTAAGTTAGTTTTATTTTAAGTGATTGTATATTGAAAATAGTTAATCATTTTAACTTTTTAATAGTTGTAAATATTTGTCCCAATTTTTAAATACGCCGTAATAAAGATAGTCATCGTTTACGTCTGTAATACAACAACATACAATTTGTGTCAGTTTTGTATTATTATATATGTAGGTATATTGAGGAGCGTAGGCGGCGACTGTCGCCACGCGATGTGCGCGTGGGCGGCGCTCGGCGCGGCTCGGCGCGCCGCGTGGCGGCCGGGCGACTTCGATCTTACGCTACGCTCGTGCCGCCTGAGTAACCATTATTTAAATCACATAACTTATCATTGGCCTTCCAGCTCAACTATCTTTTCTACAATTAATTGTTTACATTTATTCTCCACCTCTTTCCCTCGCTCTGTAGTCTAAACTTGTATTTCGAACTGTCTTTTGTGTTAGAGTAAAAATATTATTTAATTAGAGGTGTGCAGAACTTTTGAATAGCATCTATGCCAACCGTCGATGAAATGTATTATTTATTTTATTTTATTTATCATGACAGTTTTCAGTTGGAAAAGAAATGGCCCCGAGTTCCCGGCGCCCCTTTAATGGGGCAGGGGTGCGAAGAATCTCCGGGAGAAAAACCGGCGACGAGGTTCGCCACCCGTCACGTCCTGTCTCCCGGGGGGGCGAAAAGTGGATTGCGGAGGCCCGTCTGGCCACGCTGAATGTATGTGGAGCAATGAATGATAAGATGGATGAAGTATGCGATATGATGTATGATAGAGGAATAGATGTGTTATGTGTAAACGAGACGAAACGAAAGGGAAGAGATGTCACTGCACATGGCATGTATACCGCTTACTGGTCTGGAGTAGAGGAGACCGAGCGGGCATGTCAGGGAGTCGGTGTCATCCTTTCAGAAAGAATGGGTCAATGTGTGAAAGAGTATGAATGTGTTAGCCCAAGGCTGCTGTGGATACGAATGAAAGTGGGCTTAAAGAAGTTGTTTTTGCTAGGGGTTTACGCCCCAGATATGTCTAAGCCCACTTATATCCGAGAGCAGTTTTGGGACATGGTAAGGCTGGTGTTGATGAAATGTAAGGAAAATGAAAATATTATTATGTTAGGAGATTTTAATGGAAGGGTTGGGGTGAAGAGGTCTGGTTATGAAAGGATATTAGGAACGTTTGGCGATGAAAGAATAAATGAGAATGGTGAAGACCTCCTCACCGTATGTGTGGAAAAGAATCTTTTTGTGGCGAACACTTTCTTTCGCCATAAGAGGATTCACATGTATACATGGGAAAGAGGGGATGATAGAAGCATGATAGATTTTATAATTGTGGATGAAAGAATGAGGAGCGCAGTGGTAGATACAAGGGTTTACCGGGGGTCCAACGTAGGGACGGATCATTACTTGGTCTTATGCCGAATTAATGGTCTATTCAGACGTTGGCGGCATCGGACATCGGTGTCTACCACTGCGTTACAGCGTATAAGAATAGAGAGGTTACAAGATGAAGGTGTAAAAGAGAAGTATAAATGCAGATTGAGGGAAAATATAAGTGGGTTGAATGAATTATGTATGAATGATTTAGAATTGAAGAATGTATGGAATAATATTAAGAAAGTTTTGGTGGATGCAGCCACCGAAGTATGCGGTGTAAGTAAGAGAACGAATGAAAGGAAAAGTAATACGTTGTGGTGGGATGATGAGGTACGGATGGAAGTTGAAGCAAAGAAGAGAGCATGGCTAGATTTACTAGCAACTAAAGCTGGTAATTCTGGCGGTATGAATGATGAGATTGAAAGAAAAAAGGCAGACTTTAGACGTATAAATAAGAGAGTAAAAGAAGTTGTTGAAAGGAAAAAGCAAGAAAGGATAGATAAGAATGATAGAAGGATATCTGATAACTTCCAGGCAAATATTAAAATGTTCTGGAAGCTCGTAAGAACTGCCAGGGGAAATTCAAAACAGCCTAGAATGACTGCTATACGAGACGAGAATGGCTGCATGTTGAATGATGAAGTTTCGAATTTAAAGAGATGGAAGGAATACTTTGAAAGCGTGTTTAAGAGTGAAGAGTCGTCTGGAATAAGTGAAATAGAAATTCCGGAAGAAGTGGAGAGAGGTAGGGAGATAAGTGTAGATGAAATAATGAAAGCAATGAAAAGCATGAAAGCAGGTAAGGCAGCCGGATATGATAGAATATCACTCGAAATGCTAAGGGCTGGTGAGGGTGTGATTACAGGCCTGCTGCACACCTTGTTTAATTTATGTTGGGAACTGAAACGGGTACCGGAAGACTGGTGCAAAGCCGTTATAGTCCCAATATATAAGGGAAAGGGGTCGCAGCAGGACTGTAAAAACTACCGTGGTATCAGCTTGCTTAGCATTGTGGGTAAACTGTATGCTAAGGTGTTAATTGAAAGAGTTATGGAAGAAACTGATGGAAAAATTTGGGATGTGCAAGCTGGATTTAGAAAGGGGATGGGGTGTACGGATCAAGTCTTTTCCATGCGCATGATAGCGGAGAAGTTTTTGGCTAAAAACCAGAAAGTTTTTTGTGCGTTCATGGACTTGGAAAAGGCTTATGACAGAGTGGACAGGAATGTGTTATGGCAAACACTGAACTCATTTGGGTTGAGCGCTGGATTGATACAGGCATTAAGATCTCTTTATAGGGACTCTAGTGCTTGTGTCAGGATCAACGGGGTCTACTCGGACTGGTTTGGCATTCATAAAGGTGTCAGACAGGGATGTGTGGCTTCCCCGTGGCTGTTTAACTTATTTATGGACAGTTGTTTGCAAACTTTGAAAGTTGAAGAATGTGGGTTAAGAATGGGTGAGTCAACCGTCAAATGCCTTTTGTACGCCGATGATCAAGTCATATTTGCATCGTCGGCGGCCGAGTTGCAAATGATGGTTACTTTAATGAATTGGTCATTGAAAGAAAGGGGTATGAAAGTGAACGCAAGTAAGACGAAAGTGATGGTTTTTGAAAGAGAAGAAAGTAAAACTTTATGTGAAATAAGAATAGAAGGGGAGTTGATTGAGCAAGTGGATGAGTTTGTATATTTGGGATGTTTATTTAGCAGGGATGGTAGATATGATAAGGATATAGAACGACGAGTGAACGCAGGAAATAGAGTGAATGGGACTCTACACGCTATTATGAGGAGTCAGAATGTGTCAACTAAGGCACGTATGGCAATTCATAATGCCGTGTTAGTCCCTACTTTAATGTATGGTAGTGAAAGTTGGGTCTGGCAGAAGAAGCATGAGAGTAGAATAAATGCTGTAGAAATGCGTTCCTTAAGGAGTATGCTAGGGCTGAATCTGAATGACAGGGTGAGAAATAGTGTGATAAGAGAAAAGTGTGGTTTGCAAGATGACGTTGTGACAAGGATTAAGAAAGGAATGCTTCGGTGGTTTGGTCATGTAGAAAGAATGAACGAGGAAAGAGTGACAAAGCAAATTTATGTTGCGGAAGTGAACGGCAGGGTCGGGAAGGGACGCCCTAGACGAAGGTTTATCGACCAAATCGGCGATACATTAAAAATGGGCCAGATTAGGAGTACCCATAACCGACGGGCGTGTATGCGTAGATATATGGATGTAAAAGAGGCGAGAGAGGTGTGTCAGGATCGCGCCAAATGGAAGTCCGTAGTCTCTGCCTACCCCTCTGGGTGACAGGCGTGAGTGTTTATGTTATGACAGTTATCAACTAAGTAGCGATTGTGTCATTAAGGAAGTAAATAGTAGGTAAAAGCTCCGTTCATTGTTTTGTACACACACGAGCGCGCGTCGTTGTTGCCCATAAATCACATTCAATTTAGTATATTTTGAAATAAATATAGAAACCTCATTTACAAGTACTTTTCAAAACTGTAAAAAGTGTATATCAATATTTAATTTTTAAACTTAATTATTAAATTTGGCTGGTCTTTGAAAAATAACCCTGTATGGTAGATAGAATTATTTCGTTGGTTCCACATACTTAAAAATATTATCTAATAATATGTTCTATATAAATATGTAAGGTCGTAGCTAAAATGACAAAATAACCTACGTACATAAATTTTGTGGTATTTAAATTAGTAATGGTTTAATAATTTATTTATCAATTGGAATTAATGAATTTGCAAAATACTTACGGATCGATCTAAAGATGCCTTGCTGTTCTTACGAGATAAATTATTTGATGCAGAACTCACTCTAGTTGATGTAGTGCTAGTACTGAATGACTTCTTTGAAAGTCTGCCGGATTTCCTTGGAGTCTTTTTTACGGGGCTGGGCTTTTTAATAATGTAACTGAGCCGCTTAGCACTGCCTGGCTTAGGACTGGGCCCTTTTTGCTTCGGACTGGATCCTTTCTGTTTAGGACTGGAATTCTGTATTGGCGTGTGCCCAGTCATCAACATTATGGCCGCTTGTTTTGTGTGATCTGTGAATAAAATAAAAACTACACCTCCAAACTATAAATTTATCATGTATATGTGAAAAAATTGCATATGAAAAAACACCCAAAAACCAAAATAGTTGCTTGAAGGCCTTTAGTAATCTATCTGGGTGGGTTACCCTTTCTTACATATCTCTGCCGCTAAACAGCAGTGCTTGTTGCCCCGGTCTGGGTGTAGAGAGCCAGTATAATTACAGACTGAGGCATTCCATCTTAGTCCTCACTGGTGACAACGAAACTGTAGCTATCCTTGTTAGAAGTTAGATTTTTTTTTTAATAAAACGTTACCCCCACACTAGGATTTTCTCCTGTGTCGTGGAGGCAGTTTACAAACATAAATTGCAGAAGGACAAACATCCAGATCCGGAACGATTATTTGTAGGCCATACAAATACTTGTTCCGTGCGGGATTCGAACCCGCGGCCCCCAGCGCTACAACTGATTGCTAAGCCACTGCGCCACGGGGCCGTCAGTTAGATCGCAGGTTTCCATGGGCTACAGAAGTCACTTGCCATCAGGTGGACTGCCAGTTCATCGAGTTCGAGTAAAATTGCTTTGTAATTGAGCCATCTGCTTCATTATATAGGTATATCTTTTTATCGAACAAAATTTGATTGACCCTCAAGGTGGCATGTAAGATAGACGTTAGATAGCATAAAGAACAATGGCAGACTCATACATAAAATTAGTTGAGAAGGAATGGTAGTGTCTATATATCAAAAATATCTTAAAATGTTAAGATATTTTTAATATATATTAATAACTCTGTCAAAGAATTTTGGCCTGAGAAGGCGTCAAATAAAAAGACATTTAGATTTGTACCTTTTTAGGTTATGTCTTATGTCACTTGGAAAAAGTCATGCGTCCTGTGGTCATTTGATGTTAGCTTAATAGATTCTCAACATAATGTACTTACCTACATAATTGAGAGTTTTTAGATTAATGTATCTCTATTATATATTTGCATAATATAAATGTATATTTCTGGCATGGCTCTAGGGCCTTCGTGTCATACAGTGACATTCTCAGAAGGGCTAGAACCCAGAGCCGTAAAGCCGGTAAAAAAGTGACATTTTGTTTTAACTAGTGTTGCCATAACATTAAATGGAATTGTTACATAGTACTATGATTGAGATAATGCATTATTGTAAGACGTTCTTTGTAAGAGACTTAGTTTCAACCATATCACTTTTATTTTTATTTTTACTAATAGTATAATTATTACTAATAAATAACTTAATATAAAAATAATTTGTGTGTTTTGTTGGCAGTCTTGCAAAGTGTATACGAAAATAGTATGAATATAGTAAATGGCAACACTTGAATAGAGTAAAATAATTTAAATCTTTTAAATTTAAATATGTAAATTTAAATATGCCGTGTAGTGGCGGTCAAGAATATCCACTACCCCATATCCTCCCGTGGGTGTCGTAAAAGGCGACAAAGGGAAACAGGCAGAAGATGGGCAGCAGCATCTTCCTGATAATAGCCAAAATTATAATAAAAAAACTGCGGTTGCCAACCCGCTCGCCAAGCGTGGCAACTATGGCAAATACCCCCCAATGACTAAAGCAACAAACAGACGGCCCCCAGTCCCCGGCGGCCCCGCTATTCCTAGCTACGGTGGCGACCATGGTAACGGCGGGGCAGGGGGTGCTAAGAATCTCCGGTGGAGGTTCGGTTGCCACCTTAGACGACTCGACCTGGCAACGTACAACGCACGCACCCTGAGGACTGACGAGAAGATTGTGGAGCTGGAAGAAGAGATAGACAAGTTGCGCTGGCATATTATAGGATTATCCGAAGTCCGAAGAGAGGGGGAGGACACGGTAATCCTCGAATCCGGCAACTTGCTCTATCACCGGGAGGGCGACCATCTGTCCCAAGGAGGTGTCGGATTTATCGTCCACAAGTCTCTCGTTAACAACGTTGTAAAGATCGGGAGTGTGTCGACGAGGGTTGCGTACCTTATACTCAGAATCACCAAACGGTATTCGCTGAAGGTCATACAGGTTTACGCACCAACCTCGGCACACCCCGATCAGGAGGTGGAGGAAATGTATGAGGATATCTCTAGAGCCATGCATTCCTCCAAAACCCAATATACGGTGTTAATGGGAGACTTCAATGCAAAACTAGGCACAAGAGAGAACGGTGAGCTGAAAGTAGGGAAATTTGGAATAGGGCAACGGAACCCAAGGGGCCAGCAGCTGGCCGACTTCATGGAGAAAGAGGGACTCTTTATGATGAACTCTTTCTTCCAGAAGCGGCCCCACAGGAAGTGGACCTGGTCGAGCCCCGACGGTTCGACAAAAAATGAGATTGACTTCATTATGACGACCAGACGACAACTGTTCAGTGATGTCTCCGTGATCGCAAGGGTGAAAACTGGTAGCGATCACCGAATGGTTAGAGGCACACTGAACCTAAACGTTAAGTTGGAGAGGTCTCGTCTAATGAAGTCAACGCTCCGTCCCCCTCGTGCTCTAATCCAAAGTCCCGAAACCTTTCAGCTCGAGTTACAAAACCGTTTTCAGTGCCTAGAAGACTGCAAAGAAGTGGACGATATGAATGACAAGCTCGTGGAAACTGTCCATGCGGTCGGAGCTAAGTTCTTCAAGACCCGCCGCAGAAGAACACAAAAACTCTCCGATCACACTCTTAATCTCATGGCTGTTAGACGGGAGATGAAGCTACATTCTTCAACAGACTTGACAGCATACAGGCATCTGAACAGACAGATCTCCAAATGCATGCGGCGGGACTTACGCAACTTCAATACAGCTCGTATTGAAGAAGCGATCGAGCGGAACCAAGGCTCCAAAGTCCTTGCCAGAGATCTGTCTGCCAGAAAGAGCCAACTGTCAAAGCTGAAGACAGAATGTGGCAGCATCGTTTCCGGGACACCTGAGATTTTGAGTGAGATTGAGAGGTTCTATGGGCAGCTGTACACGTCATCGTTGGAGCCACACGCAAGTGTGAGTAACGATCCAAGAGCGAGTCTCATCCGACACTATTCCGAAGATATCCCGGACGTCAGTCTGAGCGAGATTAGAATGGCTCTCCAGCACCTTAAAAACGGTAAGGCCCCAGGCGAGGATGGAATTACAGCGGAGCTTCTGAAAGCGGGTGGAAGACCGGTACTTGAAGTCCTTCAGAAGCTCTTTAATTCCGTCCTCCATGGTGGCATTACACCGGAGGCGTGGAGCAGAAGTGCGGTGGTCTTGTTCTTCAAGAAAGGTGACAACGCTCTCTTGAAGAACTACAGACCGATTTCCCTTCTGAGCCGCGTCTACGTGCTGTTTTCGAGAGTCATTACGAATCGTCTCGCGCGCAGACTTGACGACTTCCAGCCTCCCGAACAAGCCGGTTTCCGAAAGGGCTTTAGCACCATAGACCACATACATACCCTTCGGCAAGTTGTACAGAAGTCCGAAGAGTACAATTTGCCACTATGTCTGGCGTATGTGGACTATGAGAAAGCCTTTGATTTCGTCGAAATTTGGGCGGTGCTGCAGTCTCTTCAGCGGTGCCAAGTTGACTGTCGGTATATCGAAGTGTTGAAGTGCTTGTACAGTAGGGCTACGATGGCTATCCGAGTACAGAACCAGAGTACGAAACCTATCCAATTGCAGAGAGGTGTAAGACAGGGTGACGTCATATCCCCGAAACTCTTCACCGCTGCATTGGAAGACGTTTTCAAGCTTCTGGACTGGAAAGGGTACGGTATAAACATCAATGGCGAGTACATCACTCACCTTCGATTTGCCGACGATATAGTCCTTATGGCAGAATCGCTGGAGGGCCTAAGCACTATGCTCAATGACCTCAATAGTGTTTCCCAACGGATAGGTCTTAAGATGAACATGGACAAAACAAAGATTATGTTTAATGTCCATGTCACACCTATGCCGGTAGTTGTTGGGAGCATTACCAGCATAGCGTTTTTACGTTTCAAACGATGACTTCAACAATTGTTAAGTGTGCAAACTGCAACGTAGTTATCTCTGAAGTACTGGCCTTTATTCAAAATAAAATACAGGTCATGGATGAAGAAAGTATAAGTCGTATATGTAGCAGTTCTTTCTCGGTTGAAGAAGTGGCAGAGGCGAAAAAACTGCTGTTTGAGTCGATCTCGACTTCAGCACGAAGAGTTATCAGGAAAGGCGAGGGCAAATCAATAAGGGACTTGGAGGACATCATATGTCTTTTCAAGGAAACTGACCCAGACATAACTCCTATATTTGTGGCAAGAAATTTAAATAAACTACCTCCCGTTACTTTTGATTATGTGGATGCTTCAAAACTTTTAAGAGATATGAATGTACTACAACGTGATCTGAAGTTATTACAAGATACATATGTGTCTAAACGTGAGTTTACTCAACTCAAAATTGAGTTGGATAATCTAAAATGTACATCGCTAGTAAATAACTGCAATATAAACCCGCGACGGAGGGGCGCTTGTTTGCTGAATGTCTCGGATATTGATAGTGGCCCTATGGGTCTACATTTCTCTGAACATGGAGAATCACCTGATAAGGAAAAGCAAACAATTTTGAATAACTCGAAATTGGGAATAGACCTGCAAAATAGTGTGAATCGATCATCGGACGCCACTGCCGCCGCGGTGGCTAGTGAATGTAATGAGTCACCCCCGCAGCCGTTGACGCCTGAACTACCGGTATCTGGGCACTCGGGTGACGTAGGCGATCAGCTGAGTGCGACTGCTACGAAACATAATACCATGCGACAAACTTCTATTGCTGAAGAAAATGTAAAAAAGGGAAATGAATGGATTACGGTGACAAATAAAAAGATAAAGAAGTCAAATCGATATGGAAGTAAAATAGGATTGGCAAGTCAAGAGCCGAATTTTAAATCGGCAGATTTAAAAGTACCTATATTCATTACAAATGTACACAAAGAAACTAAGGCAGAGTCCATAAGTGAGTATGTGTACAAACAGACGAATGAGAAAATAT